AAGATCAGCAAGGATTTCACTGTTAAGCCAAGCTGGTCACCTGCCATATTTACTATTCTTTCTACACAGCAGGATGGATTGTCCCTGTAACCTTAATAAGGATTCTTTAAAATACAGCCAGCTCTCATGAAATGTATTTGAAGTTTATTGCAGCCTAGTGGCTGCAAGGCACCTTTTATAAATAGAAAAGGAGTACTTGTGGCACCTTAGAGACGAACAAATTTATCTGAGCATAAGCTTTCCTGAGCTACAGCTCACTTCATCGGATGCATTCAGTGGAAAATAGTAAACCTTTCGAGTCACTCAGCAGCTGAAAAGCAACTACTCATAAAACAGGTTTGTTTAGTGCTATTCAGTGCTTCCAGCAGAATTTTTAAGATGACAAAAAAATAATCTTGAATTCCTTGGACGTACAGGGTACTGTATGCTCTAGAGAAGAGGTTTTCAACCTGTGGTCTATGGATCCCTGGAGGTTTGCACACTGTCTAAGATTTCCAAAGGGGTCCACACCACCATTCAAAAATTTTTAGGCGTCCACAAATGAAAAAAGGTTGAAAACCACTGCTCTAAAGTAACTACCAGAGCTATTTCAATCAGCCCTCTGTGCCAAAGGCCTTACACTTAATTTGGCTATGTAACAGCTCTGCTCAGGATGGGGCTTTTGGCAATCTGAAGATTAATAAATAATAGGGGTAAAGATACTTTCCCAGCAGTCCCACCAGTCTATATTACTCCAGCAAGCCATACAAAACCTTTCATTTGCATAAATACAAGGTTTTGTCAGCAGCACTCACTGCCGGGGCTTGGAGAGAGTGGGAGTATAGGGACTTTATTACGTAATATGAAACATCAGGGAATTTGCAAGGTACATCAGGAGGCTTTTATAACAAAGGAATCATGTTTTAAATATGAATGTATTCCCCTACCACAGAATTGCATTTAAACAGTAGTTTTGGAAGGAAATTCTAAATATATAGCAAGCGGGCATTTTGTCCATCGTAAACTACTGTTATGCTGACAGAATATCTTGAAAAGCGCCTTGCACTGGTAATAAAAATGGTTCATAGCTCTGATATATTATGCATGAGTTAAGTAGCGTGCAGCTTTTACCTTCATTAACTTTCTTGCAGAACATCCTAATTTTATATCTCCTTGCCCCCTTTTAAATCCTCATCTCTCCATACTCCCTATTAATTCAATTCAAGGTGCGAGGCTAGATAAGATTACATTTAGAAGCCCATTGTTAAAGAGGAGCAAAATTCTTTAAAGAACTAAGCAGTAGTTTTTTGAATTCTAAAATGCTGGAGCATCACATCATACTAGACTCAGATACAATTCATTCGTTGGTTGGTGATATGTAATTATCAAAGTGAGTTATTTAATCTATTTAAATACGGTGTTAGCTCCATTATTAGAGTTTAATCCCATAGATTGTTCATAATGCAACACCTAACTTTACTACACTATACTCTTGTACTCTTTAACATTACACAGCATGCTCCGCCCTGCCCACGCTGTAATGTCGGGAGGAAGGAATAACTTTGTGGGTGATGCTCCAACCTGGTTTCATGGATTCCAGCGGGAGCATTCTCTGGCCAGAGTGAGGGTCTCTGTAACAAGGAAATTGAGAGGGTTGGGGAAAAAAAGCAAGGTAATGGGAGGTTAGAAAGGAGTTTAGTAAGAGTTCACTCTTTGAATGTTGGTATTAGCTCACTTACCCACCCTGGACAATGAGCAATCACAACAAAGCTGAAACATCAAATGCATTACACTTGTCTTTAATTCTTTGTCATGCTGCTGTCCTGCCATTAGCACCAACAATTCAAATCTCAAATTATACACAGACATTGCACAGACTTGTTTTATCTATTAAGATGCAGAAAGGTAACTTTCTGCACGCTGGACCTGCTCTAGGGTTAAGTGCGTAAGAAAACAGCAGAGTAAGGTTTTTCGTCCTGATCTGTACCATGAAGATTAATGGTACTCTGTTACATTACAAATGGAATCAATCTGACATGCCAGAATCTACGTGCATCCAGAACTGTCATAACTATAAAGGGAAGGGTAAACCCCTTTGAAATCCCTCCTGGCCAGGGGAAAGCTCCTCTCACCTGTAAAGGGTTAAGAAGCTAAAGGTAACCTCGCTGGCACCTAGCCAAAATGACCAATGAGGAGACAAGATACTTTCAAAAGCTGGGAGGAGGGAGAGAAACAAAGGGTCTGTGTCTGTCTGTAGTCGTCTTGGCCAGGGATAGACCAGGAATGGAGTCTTAGAACTTTTAGTAAGTAATCTAGCTAGGTATGTGTTAGATTATGATTTCTTTAAATGGCTGAGAAAAGCATTGTGCTGAATAGAATAACTATTTCTGTCTGTGTATCTTTTTTGTAACTTAAGGTTTTGCCTAGAGGGGTTCTCTATGTTTTTGAATCTAATTACCCTGTAAGATATCTACCATCCTGATTTTACAGGGGGGATTTCTTTATTTCTATTTACTTCTATTTTTTATTAAAAGTCTTCTTGTAAAAAACTGAATGCTTTTTCATTGTTCTCAGATCCAAGGGTTTGGGTCTGTGGTCACCTATGCAAATTGGTGAGGCTTTTTATCCAACATTTCCCAGGAAAGGGGGGGTGCAAGTGTTGGGAGGATTGTTCATTGTTCTTAAGATCCAAGGGTCTGGGTCTGTAGTCACCTAGGCAAATTGGTGAGGCTTTTTACCAAACCTTGTCCAGGAAGTGGGGTGCAGGGTTTTGGGAAGTATTTTGGGGGGAAAGACACGTCCAAACAGCTCTTCCCCAGTAACCAGTATTAGTTTGGTGGTGGTAGCGGCCAGGCCAAGGACAACGGGTGGAATATTTTGTACCTTGGGGAAGTTTTGACCTAAGCTGGTAAAGATAAGCTTAGGAGGTTTTTCATGCAGGTCCCCACATCTGTACCCTAGAGTTCAGAGTGGGGGAGGAACCTTGCCAAGAACTTTTCATTTTTATGTCTTGTTTCACTGTAAAAAATGACATATAGCCCCCCCAAAAGGCAACGCTTTCTCTGGTTATGAAGCCGTCTTAGTACTTGCTGTTATCTCTGATGTACTGTCCTTATTATGGCTGACAGTTTGAAAAATGGCACCGCATTAAGACATCAGCGTTTAAACAACATTTTAAAAGACTCAAGATAAAGAATGTCTTTTGGATTATCTCATGGGTAAAAATCAACCTTCTGCAATAAATGTAAAAGGATGAAGGATGGCTCCCCACATTAGCTCTTCTCAACTGTTTGAGGCTGAGAAATAATACAGCAGCACTAAGATGAGTATCTGAAAGCATTTCACATACACACTCTTTTATAGATGCTCATGTAGGAGCCAGTGGAGTCAGCAGCCCTGGGTTGTGTTCCTGGCTCTGCCACTGAATTGCTGTGTGATCCTGTGCCTTAGTTTCTCCATCATAAAATGAGGATAATGCTTAGTCCACCACTACAAAGCACCAAGAGATCTAGGGATAGGAAGCACTATAAGAGCTCCAAGGATCTCAAAGTGCTCTACAAATATTAATTCATTAAAGCCTGCAACAACCTTGCAAAATTACCCCTGTTTTATTATTACCAAGTAATTACATATAAAGTGCTTGGTGCTGCACAAGACACAAAAGAAATCACTATCTTTGCCCCTGAGACCTTGGAATCTTAGTAGACAGACAATAGACTTTAGGTTTCACAGGTAAAAAAGTGAAGCACAAAAACCTGACTTGCTCAAAGCCACACAATTTATGGAGGAACTAGCAATAGGATCCAGCTCTCCTGTCACCCAGTCTTGTGTTTCAACCAGAAGATCATTCTCATTCATTTCTTATAGCCTTTATTAAATTATACTCCTTTTGAATTAGATTGTTTGCCTATTCAATAGATTTCAGCCAATCTACTTAAAGAATAGAATTCAGCTCTCTATTACACATATGATATGCATAGAGAACAAGGTTAGAATTATCAAAATATTGTATTTGATCGCAAAGAATCTATTTCCTCAATGAAATTCACAAATCAACGTATAAAGATATGTTGTAAACTGGCAGTGTTCAGATGTGGATCCAAATTAGGTTTACACTAGAGTTCAAGGTTGAGGGTGAAGGTTCAGGTTTGGATTAGAGGGAATTGAAATCTCAAATTGTTCTGATTAATTTTTATAAACATTGAATGGTGATAGTTCATAAAATCAGCTGTTCTTCCAGGATCCTAACACCCTGAGCCAAAATCTAATGAGAAGGGCTGAGATTTTGCTTGCATCCTCCCCAAATAGGAAAACAGAACCATTCTGGGTTTGGATCCAACCAGGAACCAAAAGTGAATGGGGTGGTTTCACATTCCAGGGTCCATATTCGAGGTTTTAGTTTTAGCCCATCTGTCGTGTAAACGAAACAAAATATCAGTGTGGAATCTACAAGACGACTCATTTTCATGCAGCAGAAGTTTTGTATTATTCAAGCTCAGTTACTACCTCCTGAGTGGGCTAAGATTTAAAAAAATAAAATAAAAAAAGCTGCCAGTAACAACTCTGAATTTTTAATTGAATTTGTAATCACTGTTTGCAGTGTGGTTGTAGAGACATGACTTAGGCTTTGTCTACGCTACCTATCTTTTAGAGACACAGGTGTACTGCTGAAAGGCGCCCAGGGTAGCTGCTGTTTGATGGCAGGAGAGAGCTCTCCCACCAACAAAAAACTTCCACCCCCAAGGAGCGGCAGCAGCTTTGTCGGCAGGAGAGCACTCCTGCTGACAAAGCACTGTTCGCACTAGCGCTTTTCATCGGTAAAACTTTTGTCATTCGGGGGTGTGTGTTTTTTTTAATGCCCCTGAATGACAAAAGTTTTGCCAACGAAGTTTCAGTGTAGACAAACACTAAGAGCTCTGTGGCGCTGAAGAGCTTGTCTCTTTCACCAACAGAAGTTGGTCCACCCACCTCGTCTTGGTAATCAGTATTAGTTTTAACCTTCCAATATACTTGATTCCTAGTGCTACCAGTGGCTAAAGGAAAAAATTGTAAGTGAAGAAGGAAGAAAACAGCAAATAAAGCTGAAAGACCTTTCCCCAATTGCAGATCGTCTTGGATGCACACTACCTCAGCTAGCAGTTGGTAAGAAATACTAAAAGTATAATTTATTGCTGCTTTCTCCCCTCTTGCTTGATACTTGACTTGGTTCACATCATAGTATTAAAGAAAAATAAACCACTCAAACTAGTACAGTAATTCACATATACTAAATTTTGTGCTTTGCTGATCTTTGGCAGATCATTGCCAACTGTCTTGCACAAAGCCATGGGTACTCCATTAGTATTCACTCATTCCATTTAAGTCTCTGAGTGAGGGATAACTTAAAAGCCTTAATAGCCAGAGAACCAGCAGTATCCTTGGGACCTGCTACATTTCAAATGGCACATTCAAAGTGACAGTGAGTAAAGATAGCTTTCTGTTTCAGAAAGATGTGATTTAAATCAAGCGATCACTCAGAAAGACAGATTAAGTCAAGTGATCATTTAGATAATAGGTTTCAGAGTAGCAGCCGTGTTAGTCTGTATCTGCAAAAAGAACAGGAGGACTTGTGGCACCTTAGAGACTAACAAATTTATTTGAGCATAAGCTTTCGTGAACTACAGCCCACTTCATCGGAGACCAGGATGCCGGGGATGGATGATGATTGATGATGTAAGATGCAGTGCTACTTTATAAGGAGGCATGCACTGACTGAACATGATGAGTAGATGAAAGGGAAGAAATGCTTTAGAATAATGTAAAATGCCAGTTTAAACTACTACTCTGTATTCTTGACCCATCATCCTCTAACAAAGACAATATCCATTTTCTTATAAAACAGCAATAAAGTGAGCTAGCAATTACTATGAATTAATCACAAGTGCCTTGGTTTCTTGCAGCATCCCAGGAACGTGGTACCTTTGTAATAGCCAGAGACCTGATTGACTCGTGTTTTAAAATACATCTAACACAGCAAAGAAACACCTTTTTTCAAAAGGAGAGGTCATTAATCATTTTTAAGTGTGCTGTCTTCTCCATGTTTGCCTTGAGTCATTACTGAAATGTTGCACACAGACGGCTGTCAGAGAAATGATCCTGCAGTTTAAATAGCTTAAGTAACCACTCCTGTCCCCTAGCACCAAACAAAAATCCTGCTCCTACATCAGTTTATTAGCAGCTTAAGTGGTCAGGATCTTCCATCAGAATCATTATTTCATACTTTAATATCTAGTCCCTGTGCATAAGACTAAAAGACAAAGTCTTACCTATAATCACAGGGAGTAAATGAATGCTGACTAAATCAAGATGCTGGGCGATTACCCTTTCAGCAGTTTACCAGTATAGTATATAAATCAGTGGTACATGCTCACTGGGAACACTTTTTTTCTGATCATCCCATCTCAAAAAGGATATATGCTGAAATAGATAGGGGTCGGATGAATACAAACAGAGACATGGAAAGACTCCCATATGTTAAATAGTTTGGGAATGTTTAGTTGAGAGGGGAAATAAATCAGGAAGAAGATAAAGCTATACCATATAATGAATAATATAGAGAAGGTAAATTGAGCAGTCCTATTTACCCTTTCCTATGTGAGAACAAGGAGACATTCAATGAAACAAAGGCAGCAAATTCAAAACTGAAAAAGGGAAATATTTACACAATGCCTAGTTAGCCTGAGGAACTCATTACCACAACGTATCAAGTGCTTATGAACATTTTTTAAGGAATTTGACTTTTACATGGATAATTAAAACATTCAGTTATATTAGATGGGATCCTTCTTTAAAAAAAAAAAAAGTGATATAAACTCTCATGCTTCAGGACACAAACCAACCACTATCTGACAGGGATGAGGAAGAAACTAGCTCTATGGACAGGTTATTCTATAGTTATCTACTAAGGGGTTTCTTGCACCCTCTTCTGAAACATGTTATTGACCACTGTCAGATAAATAGATTCTGGACTAGACTGATCTAGATGCAGTATGACAATTCCTGTGTTCCTAACAGTCATGTAAATTTATTCCCAGCATGGTGCCTGCGAAATGAAGGTGTGAGTTCTGTTCTTCTAGGATCTTCCAATCCACAGCAACTGATAGAAAATCTTGGAGCCATTCAGGCAAGTAGTGTATGAATAAATCCTAATAACATCAAGAGCATTTACTTACTTCTCTTCAAAGTTGTTTCAAAGTAGCATTGTACATACCCTGAGTCTAGGATGTTCAGTATCCTGAATTTAAAGGTTTAATACATTTTCAGTTCCAGTTCCTCTGCAGTCTACTGATAACTTTAATTAAAGAAACAAATATAGTCTACTTCACTGGAGCCCACAAATATTATTTTCCAATCTCCAGTAGTCTTCTACAGGAGAATTTAATAATGGAGGTCTGCGCTGATATTAAATACCCCATAGCATTCTTCATGAGGGGCTTCCTCAGATATCCTTGACCACAAACTTCCCTCCCATCACTGTTCAATTATGTTTAACATATGTATAGTTTACAAAATGCCCTGAGATCCTTAGAAGAAAATTACAGCAGATCTTCTAGTATACAGTCATTACAATTTGGGAAGGAAGGAAGGCAGGCACCATATAAATGTAAACTATTTACCCTACAGAGACAGAACTCCTACATTATTTTATACAATTGGTTTAATTTTGGAAAATCTGTTTAATCCAGAATACCCATTAAGCAATCCTGTTAACATGTGGGCTTTATTTTTTCTTCATCTATAGGTTCTTCCCAAGATGACATCACACATTGTAAGTGAAATAGATAATATTCTAGGGAATAAGCCCATCAGCAAGAAGGACTACAGATCATAATGCAATGCATGGTTACACAGGACTGCATGGTTAAAATAGTGCTCTGTATATAGTACGGTACTGACTTACTATCCAGTCATTAGACTCATGCAGCAGCTTGCTGCTCAGTCTCTATTGTTACTGGATTTTTCAAGGTGTGTGCTGTTGCCACCAATCTGCAGTAAAATTCAAAAGCACAGTTGATCTCTTACAACTGAGAATATTCTTTGTATATTCTTATCTCTGACTAAAGTCATTGACTCTTACTTTTCTCTTCGCACCTCATGCTTATGCAGTGAAATACACATATCAAGCAAAAAAAAAAACCCAACCACCACAAAAACTATTTATATCCTTTAGGTACTTGGTAATTAAAGAAGGATGTACAGATATATTTTTTCAATGAACAAAAACAAAACTTACAGTTTTAGTAAAAATGCATTCTAAGAAATTTCAACTATAAAAATTCTTCAGCTAGATCATAGAATGAGTGAGTTCAAAATTTTCAAATGCAATTTTTATATAGGCTTTAGGCTGTAGCTGAAAAAGGACCTTACAGTAAAAAGTCAGAAAATTAATTACTACATGGTTCTGCTTCTAAATAGTCCAGTTAAGAATTCTGCATATTGAGTATGCTCAGCTGTTCATTATATATATAATTCACAGTTGGTGTAAAATATCAGAAAACCAGATATTTGTTTCGGTGAAAAGGTTACATTTGCTCTGACTGTATTCTGGAAATCAGCCATAAGTAGTATTTTTAAACAATGAGTTTTGTGAAAGTGTTTAATCCTTACACAGGAAACACTGGTACATTTATCAGTTATTCTGCCCATTTTAAGAACAGCTTCATAAATATAGTAACCTCACTTTGCTTTGTAAAATGCATTTACTGTTACTGAAGTAAGTGTATTTCACACATGTATTGCATACGTATACACTTCCTAAAGAGTACGGTTATGTACAGTACATATAAGACCCTTGTATACCATTTTTCCTAACTTCATAACACAGGAGAGTTGCACACATTTTTCAGATGACAACAACAGACCATAGATACTGATATTTTTAAAGTTAAAATGTTTTTCTTCCATTTCATCCCATGATCTATGGTATGTGTAAATGAACTTAGCTGCTGTATATTAGAACCGCAATCTATCTTCTGCTTGTACACAATAAAAGCATTTTGTGCATCTAACCTTTTAACGAGAACATTTATTACAATCAATTAATTATTTTGTTTTTAGGACAAGAAAATATATATTACGCTCAGTAGCAAGGTGAAAATAGTTTTGCAAGATCCATACAAATATTAAATGAGATTTTCCATTGAAATGAAGGAGATGTAAATGATTTCTTTGGCCCACAAAGATCTTACTACTTTTTCAGTGATCAGCCGCCCAAAAGAGGGCGCATGGAGCAGAAAAAAGCCCATTATTGTTAGATGAGGGGGACATCCCATACAGTACGTTTCACCCACAGCTTTTTACTGATCAGTGCCACATGCTTAACATGTTTAATGCATAGTTTAAGACATATTTAAATACATCAGTGCAATTTCTTGGCTTCTTAACTCTTGTGTGAAGTGAAAGGGCTTCAGGAGTTAGTATTCGTTACAAAGGTGAAAAAGTGAAATGCACTCTTTTGCAGGCTACTGACTGAACTATTCCCTTATTTGTGCCGGTCCCTTTTCTCTTTTAGGACACATTCCTTGTTTCCCCCTCAGTCATACAGGAATCCTGCACTCTCTCTGTGTAAGCCAAAATTAAGAATTCTTGCCTGTTACAGAGATTAATGTAATAAATACTCATTAAAAAGGGAGATGGCACTGTCCATTATTCAGAGAGAAAACTAATACGAAGAGTCAAGTGGTCTAATAATTTGGCAGATAGCAATGGAATGCCAAGCAACAAACAACTTTTAGGCTAACCTTCACTCTACTTATGACATTGGGAGCATCTCTAAGCCAGCTGTCAGGGCGGGGGAGGTTATAATAGCACACAATCTTTGTCACTTTAGACACTCCTACCATCGCTGTGATTTATAGACACTGATCTCCTCTAAAGGGAAACAGAGAGAGAGGGAAACGGTTAGGCAAGCATGACATGATTTGGAGAAAATGGGGGGGGGGGGTGTTAAATTAAGAGTCCAAAAATGATTTGGGTTTTAAATATTTGTTAAGCTTCTTATCCTATAACATCATATAATTCTCAGGAGAAACTCTAACCTGATAAAGATGTTCTCCAGGCCTACAAACATAACCATTCCAAAAAAACTAAGCTAAAGAGAAAAGATGTTAGTAAAATATTCAATGAGCTGACAGTAACAGCATTTCATTGTTGGTAACCTGTCACCTAGAGAAAAATACCAGCAACTTCCTAAAAGGCTGAAAGTCTAGGTCCCTCTCCTGCAAATCCATGTTCTTAACTATGCATGTGAGTACTGTAGTCCCATTTAAGAGTCAGTGGTATTATTTGTGAGTTGGATGCATTAGGGCCCGACATTTATTCTGCCATGTTCTTCCTTTTTGGTTTCTATCCTCCCCACAACTCTACCTCAGTGCAGAAGTGGGAGTTTGTTGTTGTTCTCAAAGTATAATGAATCCCACTATGCTAGGCCCTGTACAAACAGAATAAGAGGCAAACCTTACCTGTGATGTCAAGCCTACCATTCTCCAGTGGCCCATGGCAGAAAAGACCACAATTCAAGGTGAAAACACCTGAAAACAGTCTAGAACAATTTTCTGAAAGATAGCTTTCTGCAGCAGAAAAGAACAAAACATATCCAAACTTTTTCCTCTCTGAAAGTCATCTTTAAGCTTCTCCATGTAAAATACTTAGACAAACCCTGCATACTCTAAGGCAAGCCAGACCTAATACCTGCAGCACTCTAGAACTGCAAACTGGAAGTTCTGCAGAGGCTTTATTTAAATATTAAAAAGGCAGTTAATCTTCCTTGTAGATGAAAATATGGTATAGTATCACATCTTGTATTTCAGTATTGCATTTTATTTTAACCTGTCCCTATGTTCAGTTTTTAGGATGCCACAGATTTGTATAGGCAACACAGCCATTGTGTTAGCTATAAGTTTTGGTATTTAGAGGGGCTGGGGGGGGGGGGGGGGAGAAGAGAACGAGAGCAATTGGAGCTTTGAGCAAATAGAGCAGTTTGGGGTTGTTGACTAGGGACATTGGTAGGAAAATCTAGCGTATCCCCATCCCAGTCAAAAAGGGGTTAAAGACATCCTCTATGCAGTCAGCCCCAATCCAGCACACCTGTGAGGTGTGTCAAGCCTGGAGAAGAGCAGGTCCTTAAAAGGGAAAAATAAGGAGGAGTCCTTGTGGCACCTTAGAGACTAACAAATTTATTTGGACATAAGCTTTCATGGGTTAGAACCCACTTCATCAGATGCATGGAGTGAAAATACACGAGCAGGATGTAGGGCAAGGTCAGGCTGCCACAATCACAGAGCTTTACTTATAATTTGCCAACTGAAAATCTTAGAAATTTAGAAGGTAAATATCAAGAAGCCCACTACAGTCAGTATTCTTGAACTTTTTATTAAAACGTTTCAAATTATAAGTAGTAAGAGATGGATTGTCACTTTTTGTAACTAATGGGTTAAGCTCTTTTATACATATCAAAAAACCCATCATATTTGCAAGTCTGCCACAGAGTTCAGAGCATGGCTATCTTCTGTGCTTTGGAGTGATAGCCTAATCCAGTTTATGGAAACTCCAACAGAAACATTTGACAAATCATCCTTATTATGATTACAAAGTAATTCCAAGGAGTTAAGCTTAACAGTTTTTGAACTGGTATATTTCCTTCCTTCTGCCACTTAAGTTTGATTCATTCAGTTTTATTTTTACAATATCTTACCAAGTAACCAAAGCTAAATTCAAAGTTTGCTTTACATTTATTGTTGTAAAAAAGCTCAAGTTTTCAGACTGCTTACACTTGCCACCCTTAAGTCTTTAATGAAATTGGATCCACCCACAAATATGAACAGATGACCACTGTTTTGTCTATTTGGAGCCTGTAGATAGCAGGGCAATCAGTCCAGATGAAGCACTTATAGACAGAATGTAGTTTCTGTGGGGAGAAGGTTAAGGATGTAAACTTAAAGCTACCATAAGTAACATCTCTTGCAATAAACATCTACAGTAGGAGTCTGAAGAGAAAGGGTGGAAACAGAGTTTTGCTACATTTGATTTTTGTAATAGATACTGCATACTTGAAGTCTAGTTTAGAGACAGATGCTATTAGGAATTAAGCCTATTTATAAGTGTGTTAACTTTAAAAAACAACATCTATAAAGCCTAGACTAGCCCCCGAAGAGAAGTTTTAAATGCTGTTAATCAGGCAGCATATCTTGACTACTGCATCAAATCAGTGCCGCATAAAGTAAGCTACTTCAGATCTGGAGGAAGTGATTTCACATTCAGGAAATGACTGCAGAGTAGGAAAAAAATATTCTGTGGCACAACAGCCCACAGCAACTAATATTTACATTTCCTGACAAGAACATACCATAGGGCAGTTCCATATTAACATGAACTAGCTTACTGCAGCGCACACCATTGCATCAAGTTATCCATACCACAGCAGCTTCTTCGTATGAGAATGTTCACCCAAGAACGTTCAATGCTAAATGAGAACAAAAACCATCAGCATGCAAGTATGGGTTGGAGCTGCCTTGGTAATCTCTATTTAGGCTGTTCTATAACTTAATGCCCAAATGTTATTGGACAAACTAAATTACGAAACTACCTGGCTATCAATAAAAAGCTTGTGAACAGTTCTCAGCTTGTTTACAGTGAAATAGTAAAGGATACACAGTGGGGTTGAAATTCTTCAACAGAAAGAATGAAGCAATGATGACCAAGACGAGAAAGAGGGTGTTGTTGTAGAAGATAGAAAATGTTGTTGCTTCGTAATCCGCAACTTCGTTTTTCTTCCACAGAATTCTATGTATAAATGCAAATAAATTTTAAACATTTGTAGATTAATACAAATCTGGACACTAACACCACTACTGCAGCACTCCTTCAGAGAGAGCACCTTGTAGGACAGTAAAAAAAGGACACACAGAAACCTCTCGATAAAGTACCTTTTACCATGACAGAATGAGTTACTGTACATCAAGTCACCATAATAGGACTATATGTCATTTCTGTCACCAATAAATTAATAAAACCAGATGCATGCAATGCTGTTAAACATTGTTGTCTCTTCTTCTTTCCATAACAGAATATGAAGAAACCACAAGGGCACAATTGTGTCCCAAATAACCAAGTTTAACAACTATAGAAGGACATTCCCTGCCTAGCTGCATACATACTGCTCCTCTGACTGTTTTCAGGCTGCTTCTACAATAGAGAATGCAGTCAGGGCTACTTGAGGCTTGACAAGCTAGTTACAGGAATACTAACCCATATTTATTGAGTATACGCGTACATACTTAAGTCATTTTGGACCCAGATTCTTGAAAAACATAAGGTCACAAAAACTGAACCTTTATTACTAGATTGAGATGAATACTCATTTTGCGAGTACAGTGCCCATGCTGTCAATCCAAGGGAAAACATGGTCCTTGCTCTAAAAAGCTGATGGTTCAATTCCCAGAAGTATTCATCAGCACCTCTCAAAAGAGTCATAAGTGTCTTAAGTTTGTTTTTTTATAGCTATCAAACAAAGTATTCCTAATATACCCATCACTAAAGTTCTTAGTGATGAAATTCAAATTTGAGATCCACTTTGTCTATCAAGGGTCTAACCTTCACCACTCCTTAATACAGCTTCTCTTAAAAAAAAAAAAAAAAAAAATCCATTATTCAGACTCAGTTATAGGAAGGCTTTTGTGAAAAGCTGAGTTTTCACGTTCCAAAGACAGTCAGTCTTGGCCTCTCTGATCCTGTCTTGATAAATGGTTCTAAAGACAGACTTTCTGTTAACAATCCTGCCTCAGCTCAAAAGTGCTTCACCATGGGATCCATCAGCTGCAGAGTTCCCACGGACTGTAGATGTCTTCTCAAGTCATGAAGGAAGAGACAGTGACTAATATCCTATCAAGAGCCTTTAAAATTAGGATCCTAGTCATACAAAATATTATGAAACATTGCAGTGAGAATTAAAGGAGATTACCTCTCATCCTTCTCTTTGCGAGACATCTTCCTGTTGTCTGCCTCAGAAAGT